ATACATTCAATAAAAGATGCATTATTTATGGGAGCTAAAAGAAACAAAACATCTGCCTGATTGTGGATGTAAAAATACACAAAAACAAACGGCACAATATAATTCTTATCAGCTTTGCGCATAAATATAATAATCATCAGTTAAAAAACATATTTTTTTTTGTAAGAATAAAAATAAATTTATATTTATTTGTTCGTTTAATAATATGTTGTAACGTTCATTTTTGTTTCCGTTTTATTTTCCTGAGGTACGTCCCAATGTGTGTACTTATGCACTATTCTATGACATTTTAAAGTATAGATAGTGCAAGTAGTGGGTTCACACTGAAAATTCAAAAAAAAAAAGGGCACCTTAAAAACTCGGATGATGAACTAAATTAACAGAAAAAAACGAAGTGTGGAATGTTCGGCAATTCATACACTAACTCGTCAACTATTACATACTGTTACATGTAAATTACATAGCGGGTGGGTGGGGCTATCAGATTCCAATGAATGAAAAAATAATCTTATAAAATTCACACACTACACAGATGAGAACAGTGCAAAAGTACATAGAGTATGTGCATAGTGTACTGTATAGTGTGTCATTTGGGACGCAACTCTCAACTTTTAGTTTTTAACTCTTTGTTTCCCGTTTCCTTGGTTTCTAGAAAGTTCTCATTTGTTGTCATGGCAACTCATTGAATGATTGATTTGTTTCACCTGTTCCTTGCTTAGCCTTTTGTTTCTCTGTATATTTAGCCCTCAGTTTCAGTTGATCTTGGACCGTTCTCGTCTTTGTTTACATTGATGTTTTAGCTGATTGTTATACTCCAGCATTCTTGTATTCTCGCGTATTTCTGTTTTGTCAGAATTATTAATAAATGTGACTGCTGTGATTAGATCCTGCCTCTACTCTCTTCACAGCATACATGACATACGTTCAATAAAAGATGATTATTTATGGAAGTTTAAAGAACAGCTGCCTGTTTGTGGATGTAAAAAACATAAAAATATTGTAAAAATACACAAACTAAAGGTTTTGGTTATCGATAAGTGCATAAAATGTACAAATGGAAAAAGACAATATAATGCTTATCAGCTTTGCTCATAAATATAATAATTATCAGTTAATAAATATTTTTATATTTAAAAAAAGTAAACAAATAAAACAAATTAACACCACGCACTATTAAAACACAAATAAATTGTTTATTTTTTATGAATTACTTATTTTTATATTTTCTGTTATCAATGTAATTTTTGTTAAAACTTTTGTTATTCTGATGTGCGTTTTTGTCAGCTCTTTTTGTTTATCTAAAATATGTTTATATAGTTTATAAATTTGTATCTCCATTTTAGTTAACATCAAGTTAAACTAAACGAAAATGTTGCTTTGGAAACTAGCTGAAATAAAATAAGTTTCTTAAATATATATATATTATATATTAATGTTTACTTTATTTTGAAATAGCAAAAAAAAAAAAATCTAAGGGTTTAGTTAATTATTATAACACGGTCAGTAATTGGCTCTGTTTTGTTCTCACCCTTAAATAAAGCTATTGAACAAATTGAAAAAAAAAAGATATTTGTAACTACAACCATCCCATCAGCCACTGTGACTCCTTTGGGATTCTGACATATCCGTCCCGCTGAATGTCTGCCTAATTAAGTGACTGACCCTGTCTGCACCAAACAGAACTCTGTGTGTCCTGCCATCGATCCGGGACCCCTCGGCAGCGTCGACTAACTGACCCTGTCTGACCCGGAACATTGACTGACAGAACTGGAGTAAATTAGATTCTCACCTGCTTAAATCAGGCACAGGTTAAGAGATAGAATGACAGAAAGACATAGAGTGAAATATAAAGAGAGTTGTTCCGTTTCTAGATACCAGATGCAACAATACCCATTTTATAAGAAACACAGGGGTACAAAAAGTATACCTACACTGATGAGCCAAAACATTATGACCATCTGCCTAATATGCTGTTGGTCCTCTGCGTGCTGCCAAAACAGCGCCGACCCGCCGAGGCATGGACTCTACAAGAGCCCTGAAGTTGTCCTGTGGTTTCTGGCACCAAGACATTAGCAGCAGATCCTTCAAGTCCTGTAGGTTATGAAGTGGGCCAAATTAGTTGGTCCAGCACATCCCACAGATGCTCTTTTGGATTGAGATCTGGGGAATTTGGAGGCCAGGGCAACATCTTGAACTCTTCATCAAGTTCCTCAAACCATTCTTGAACAATAGGTGCTTCTCAATACTCAAATTGATGCTTCCTTGTTTCCTCAAGCCTGTGACCCAGAAATCGATTGCACTCAGCCACCTTGAAGGACATCCCAATTCTCTAATTGCACCGAGAGGAGGCGAGGAAGCTTCATGTGGAGTCATGACTCATGAGCGAGCGCACACAGGTGTATCCTTCCCTCGCATCGTAAGGGGGTGGAGCTGAGACACAGGGAAAGGAACCGAGGAAAGGAAACAAGGATGCACAAATAAGACATGAGAAGCACCCAATGGGTCTCATTCATGAAACACGAGCAGAACGGATTTTTGTGTAAATCGTGTGTAAAGTGGTTCTGGCGTAAATTTTCGGATTCATTAAAATGTTCGTATTTTCCAAATGTTAGTTGGTACACAAGAAATCTACACCTGCTCCCACCCACGCGTAAATAGTGCGCTTAATACCCGAACGTTTTGCTCATTAATAAGGCTGCATTTTAATTCACCTTAATCGGGTACATATTTGCACAGCATTTTGAAAAAATATTATATATAGTAATTACATACGGTTTTTCTTATTATGAGAGCCAGTAATAGCATCTGCGATGGTGGTCCTTCTCCAGTTTGAATACTATTTTTCCGAAGTGAACTAATTCGTTTTTTGCTCTCAAGCTTAATGTCGAACCATTTTCTTCTCACTTCTGGGAATGTTCGATTAACAGATGAAACTCCATTAACTGCATCTGTAATATGCTGCCAAGCTTCCTTTTTTTTAGGACCCGATACGCCACTATGTACGCTTGAAAATAAAATGTGGCGTTTTGAATGAACTTCTGATAATAACACTTCAATTACTGCATCTGAGAATTTTTTTTTTTCATTCGCATTCATGTCATAATATGATGCCCATATATAGTTGTCAGTCGGATTTAATGGGCGGGATTAATGGTAATTGAGAATGAACGTGCACGCGCATCCCATTTACGACTGATTGGAATTCATTAACACACACACACATTTCACTATCACATCTGACGTTTACGAAGTATTTGTGAATCAGGAGAAGAGTTTTCGGGAATGTCTCTTTATGCGCAAATCACTCGCATATTTACTCGTATATTTACGAATGTTTCATGAATGAGACCCATAGTGTGCAGTGTGGCAAGGTGTATTATCCTGCTGAAAGAGGACGCTTCCATCAGGGAATACCATTGTCATGAAGGGGTGCACCTGGTCTGCAACAACTTTAGGTGAGTGGCACGTGTCAAATTTACATCCACATGAATGGCCGGACCCAGTGTTGCCCAGAGCATCACACTCCCTTCCACAGTGCATTCTGGTGCCATCACTTCCCCAGGTAAACGGCGCACACGTACATGGTTGTCCATGTGAAAAAGAAAACGGGACTCAACGGACCAGGCAGGCTTCTTACACATGTCCAGTCCCAATGCTCACTCGCCCATTGTAGGCGCTTTCCCCCCATAACCATCATTAAAATTTTGTGTGGCTTGTTCCACAGTAGGCCTTCTATTGGCTCAGACCAATGAGCCTTGGGCGCCCAACACCCTGTTGCCGGTTTGTGGTTTGTCCCTCCTGGGACACTGTTGGTATTCTCATCACTGCTGACCGGGATCAACCCACAAGTCTTGCCGTTTCAGACATACTCAGACCCAATTTCCTTGCCATAACAATTTTTTCCCTTGTCAAAATCGCTCAGATATTTATTCCTGCATCCAACATGTCGCTTCACCTGTGACTACTCATGATGTTTTGGCTCATCAGTGTAAATGTTATGATATTAGTGGTTAAGATTTTGAGAACAAAACACCTAATATCCAATTACTAAGCAAAATTAAAATTAAAATAAAAACATTTATCCTTCTGCTTCCTGACTTTCAAAAGTTATGATTTAATCTTGACCAAAATAATAGTCTTTGCAGTAATGATTTTAAAGCAATAGACCATCTTTTCATGCCCTATCATAAATAAATTTGACAAGTAGGATTTTGAGTGGATTTTTTTTTAGAAAGCAAACAGTACTTAAGCATCATAAACTATATATTGATTCATCCAAAATTATTTGTAAATAAAGCCAATCAATTTTCAATTTTAACTGGTGAACTGGAATTAAATAATAGTTCATTAATATTTATGAAAAATAATAATGTGGCTAAATTATTGAGATTATTGAATATTGTAGGAATTACCTATTTTTTTAAACTTGTTTTTATTATTATTATTATTATTATTATTTAGATTTATTTAATTATTTGATGCATGAAAATATTTACACTACCAGTCAAAATTTTGGAATAATTGTTTTTTAAAGGTTTTTTATATGCTCAACAAGGCTGCATTTCTTAATAATAAACACAGTAAAAGCAGTAATATTGTGAAATATTATTACACTTTAAAATAACTGTATTGCATATAGTTTACATTTTTTTTTTTTTATAAATTCAGCCATGGTGAACAGAAGAGCATTCTTTCGTAAACATTGAAAAATCGTAATTACTCCAAACTTTTGAACGTCAGTGCTCATGTACAGGTTACATGAATGTATGTATGCGTTTGAGATTTTGTCTTAACATTTCATTTATTTGTATCGAAAGATGTACATTTATGTTATATAAGTGCATTTCTAACGTGCACATTTATAACTTGTTTTGCCTGATTTGTTGTATATTGATACACTTTGGAATAAAGAAAAGAACAGAATTGGAGATCAAGATGAAAAAAATTGGTTATGAGCGAAACAAAACAAACAAATAAAAGGCTGAAGAAAGTTAACTGACCGTCCATCCATTGATAGGGCAAAACAGACACCCTCTCTCTGGAAGGGCATCAGCTTTTCCTGCAGTTTCTGTGGAAGGAGTTGAAGTGCATCCTTGCCATGTAGGGAAACCCCCTCTGGACCTCTTTTGACTTGACTTCTCATTGTTTTCATTCTCTGTATATTACAAATACATGCACTCAGATTCATACAATTAAATGATATGCATTGTGGTTTGTAGTTTACTAAATTACACACATTAAGAAGACAAAACAAAAACATCATAATATAATACTGCAGCATTACTTTTTCACACTCACCAAGAGACGATCATTCCGGAATTCCTTCTGCCATGATTTGACATTTCGCGGCAATACAGTGAGTTGCGTCACAAAATACGCTGTGCGTCATATCCGCGCGACGAGTGGCAATTTTATGGAAATTAAACTACCGGTATATATATATCTGTAGTCAAAATAATGTTATTTTTGTTTTGTTACTGAAAATATTTTTGGAATATAAGACATTTTACTGGCAACTAACACTTAATTGAGTGTGTCTGGCAACTTCAAATGTGTTTATTTAAAAATTTAAGGTGCCTCGATGTTGTACTATTTTTTTAAACAGTCAAAAGTGCATTTTTAATCAAATATAGTCAGTTTTAAGAGTAAATGTCACTCACTGAGTTTCTTTCGCCCTTCTGTGGATCTTAGAAATGTAAACCAAACCTAGAGCGGAGAACAGAGAAACAAAGCAGTACTTCCGGGACGTGAGTACTGATCACCGATTGGTTAATCTCGCGTCACGTGACATAAAGAATCAAAAAGGAAAACTTTACACTTTCAATAAATTCAATAAGTAAAATAACATATTTACTATTATTACTGTTTAGTTTATGAATTATGACATATTGAAAGCTTATTCGCCATTAGATTAAATTAAACAATTATATTAAATTATTAAAGTGTTTATAATAAAGATAATAGGAAAAATAAAGGTTTAAGATTTAAATAAAAAATATTCTAAATGTATTTGCTTAAAGTATAATATTAAAGTGTTCAATGTAAATATAATAAACTTGTTTTAGTAATTTCTTTACTTTCCATATTATTTGCATGTTATTTTTTATTTAAAAAACGATTCTTTTTGTTTTTTAATTAGTGTGAAGTTCAATTAAATTTAAGCTCACACGTTGTTTTAAAGCTTAATATTTGTACTTATTAATTAAATAAATACACTGTATGAGAATATTACAACTTAAATTGTTTTTCCACAATAATTAGATTAATTATTTTGGGTTTTTTTGTTTACAATATTTTTTATCAATCTTTGAATTCTTGCAAACCTTTACTACATCTCAACTTAAAGTGGCTATAAACATATTGTTTTTTTTTAAATAATAATTTATAATTTCTGATAAAAAATATAAATTTATTTTTCATTCTGTTGAATTCTTGAGCCACTCTGCGCCCTCTTTCGGTATATTCATGCTACTTCACCGAATTGTATTTTATTTTCCCTTCCAGGTGTTTGAATATTGTGTCTTCAATGCCGCTGACAGACCGACAGCTTTGACTTGAGCCTTTAGCAGCCATTAGACTCATTATTTCTCTTCATTCCTTCAAATAGTTATTCGTCTATCTATCTTACAGGTAAGACTCAAGCATATTGCCATCCTTAACCCTTTAATATCTCGATTTTTGGTGTTATTCCTGTGAATTTGAATGATCTGGAAAAGCTGTATGTGTGTTTAAACTCATTTAGCTTTACCATGTGTGCTAACACACCACAGTGTTTTAGTCTCATTTTTATGATTTCAAAGCAAATATCCGCCTCAGATGACTGACAATGTGTCGTTTTCGTGTCAAAGAGTGTTTTATAGACAGGCTGTGTGTTTTGCTCCTCGTATATTTGAAGTAAATGTGATAAATGATCTTGTATATCAAGGGCCCAGGAGAGATCAGACACATGAAGAGTAAATAAACATGCAGGTTTATAAATCACAGATATGTTCATGCTTTGATATGCTTTATTTCATAATAAAGTAGTGCTGATATATTTTTGTAGCTTTAGGGTTGATCTTTGTAGGTTTGTGAAGCTCCAGGCTTCATTCATAAGGGCCTTTGCAGGTGATTAAACCACCAGGAGGAGATGTGTCAAGACAATTGTGTTTTTGTTCTAAATTTTTTTATTGAATGTTATTTTTTACTATTGACACTTATCTAACCTGTTCATTTACACCGATTTTAGACTCCGATGTTTTTTTTTTGGTCTGTTCAGATTTCAAACATAGCAATTATTAATCTTTTTTTTCTGCACATTACCCCCGCACAAATGTGCAAACTATGCACAGTATACATACTGCTTTGGTACAAATTTAGTGTGCTCCCTATCTAGACAGCTTTTTTTTGTGTCATAAGTAGTGAGCTGCTTTCCTAGACTACATTTTTGCACATCAACCCTAGATAGCAGCTTACCTGCTTTTTTATTTCATTTTTCAGTACTAAATGTTATTGAATACTTGAAAATATTTTTTTTAGGAAAATGTCTTGCGCTATTTTTTTTCCATATATACATTTATATATATATATATATATATATATATATATATATATATATATATATATATAGTATATTGCGACAACAATTTCACCAGATGCCTTCATGAATAGCTCTATTTGGAAAGAATGAATGGATGATTTGGGTGATTTTGTATTGGAGTGAATATGCATAGAAAATAAACAAATTACAAGCATCAGATGAATACAATAGAGCAAAGGTACAAATGAAATAAACAGTGCTTTAGGTTTTTCAGGTAGGCTAAGTCTAACAGTAGTATTCAGGTACAGAAATTGAATAATCAAATATAAAATAACAATGTATAAGTCTCGACTGTTTAAATTTAATTTAATTCATCTTTGTCAAAGCTATAAAAGTGATTTTCTCTTTGTATTTTGTTGTTTGATTAACATTAATGACACAGACATCAGCAGGTTTATTAGGCTGCTGTCACTTTAAGACCGAATGCACGGATCCAATATAATGTTACGCATCCGTTTTCTTTCTATATTGTGTACGTTCTCGTAAGCCATAAGCGACTGTGTTTACGAGGATACACACCGAGGCTGGTATTTTAACTTTGCATGTATGTGTCCGTTCACGCTCAACTAGAGGTGGAAGAGAACCGAATTCGGTGTTCATGTCAAGTCAAGTCATCTTCATTTATATAGCGCTTTTAACAATGGATTGTTTCAAAGCAGCTTTACAGCGATAAACATAATTTAAGGTAACAGAGATTGTTTTGGCTTTATAGCGGTTCTTGAATAATGTTATTTCCAGCTAAAGTTAATTTTGATTGATACACCTCCGTCGAAATGATCAGACTTTAAACGCGAACCTGTGATTAACGCTGACGGCGTTCACATGCTCATTCAGAATTGATTCTATAGTTATGTGCTTTTGAAAATATGTGCGCATTCACATATTCACAATTCCATACAACCCATGCCTAAACAAACTACTTGTCTTGCCTATAAATTTTGATACAGAATTTTGTTTTATTTTATCGCTTCGGGGTACGCGAATTCACAATGCTTTATCTGTAATGTTACAAAATGAGTTCTCTTTCTTGCGCTCAATTTGGCTTAAAATCACGTAAATGTTTAAACTGACAGAACCTAAAACCAATGCAAATAATATTTCACTCTATGATGGTTAAACTTTGAAAATTGTGTGCGTTTCGTACTGTGGTGCCTGGTCCGTACATATCACATATCCAACTATGATCGTCTTGACATCGCACATCCTGTGATGTGACATATCGCGGATGCACACATCGCAATATCGATGCTAAACCAATTTATCGTGCAGCCCTAATTCAGATCAATTACAGTGACAACTCAAGGTCACATCAGTGATTTCACAGATATTATAATCTGCAGCATTTTGCATTTCAAATCCAGATCTTTGACCATATTCCAGCCGCCAAACAATATAACCTGTATCTGGTACATGAACTTAATTTTTCTTGTGAAGCGCTGACATGATGCATAGTCTTGCGCTGGGGTTCTTTTTGACCTTGTGATTGTTCAGCTGTTATTTTATTTATATATATTTTTAAACACTCATGCGGTGTATTGTTAGGCGTCCTGGTTTCCTGTGCCGCCGGCCTGTTTCTGTCACGCCGAATATTAATGTTCGTGCGCGAGAGGCGCTGCGGTAAGGAATGATCCACGAGCTCCTGTTCGTACAAGCTCATCTGCATCACCACAGGAGAATTCTCACCTGCGCGCCCCTCTCCCCCCTTTCACCCGAGCATCACTTCATTCTGCAGCACCGCATTCATTATAGACAATGAGATGACTTTTATTTAATGACTTTTTAGCAGGCTAGGTGGACTGCCATTTGGGTTAAGAAATTAAACTAGTGCTGTGAAATGCAGTTAAACTGGTGTCCATAGGAGTATACAATATCAGTTTGTTAAATTTTTCTGTCATTGTGAACATTACCTGTTCACCACATGTGCCCTGTTCACCCATTAAGTTCTGTGAATTTAAAGCCGGCCATTTGTGTTGAGTATCATCCACTGTATCCTTACTGTTTGTGATATGTAGTTGAATTGGTGCCCCAAAGACGCCATAATCCCTTTGATAAGTTTTTAGCAAAATATTAGTTCTAGTTTTGAATGCTACCTTTTCACCCTGTGTGCCTTGTTCACCCAAAAAGTAGTGTGAATGTAGAGACAGACTTTAATGAGAGTACTGTAATATACAATTTTATTGGGTCCAAAAAAGATAAAAAAAATATATAGAAAATATAATAAATAGAATTGCATCTGTTATACTTGTGCATCTTGTTCACTCAAAAAGTACTTTGAATCTTTCTGCCAATTTTGTGTGTGTGTAGACTGTGGAGTGAACAGTTATATACAGTTGAATTGTTCCAGAATAGGCCATACTCACCAGGTTTTTAGCAAATGCCAGTTATTGTTTCGAATGTTACCTTTTCACCCTGTGCGCCCTATTCACCCAAAAAGTAGTGTGAATGAAGAGCCAGACTTTGTTAATGAGAGTACAATGATATATAAAGTTGAATTGGTGCCCAAAAGAAGTTATAATCATCTTGTTAATGAGAGTAGAGTGTTTTATATAGTTAAATTGATGTCTGAAATAGGCTAAAATCAACTTAATACGTTTTTAGCGAAATATTACTTTTTACCCGTTCACCCTCTGCACCCTGTTCACCCAATAAGTATTGTGACTCTAGAGCAGGACCACTTTATGTTTTTCGGGTAAGATTTCTTATCGCCTTTGCATCCAGATTTCCACAAAACTCTCGTCGACTCATTTTTCTCTGAAGCATCCAGGTCTCAGAGCTGTCCAGAGGTGTCAAATAGACCAGAGAAATGACCGTTGTGACGGTC